CTTATGTGGAAATGTTTAATTATTATATTAAAATTAGTTCTAGAGAAACAAGATTTACCTATGGGTAACTGACTTCTTTCCTCACAAAACCCTATAATAATTGGGAGTGGAAGCGTATTTTAATACAGTGTATGGACTTAGTATACACCAGGCTCTGTATTATCTCAGAGACGATGTAAAAGGCAAGACTCCCCTCTTCCTCTTCTCTAATATGGGGATCAAAAGAAAAGTTCACAGCGCGTCTGGATCCACATTATGATTTTTCATGCTTCAATGAAAAGGGAAATTAACTTTCCTACGAAAGAATCTAATATTCTGCTGTATAAAGATGCAAACTATCAACCATTTTCCATTAATGGCAACAGATTATATGCACACAGACGTGCTCTTACCTAGTTCCTTCATAATATAGCCATGATTTCAAGTTCAAAAAATACCTTACTGAATTTACAGATAACTTGTTAGAGACGCCGTGCTGAATCTTTTTCAGTAAATCTTGAGTAACACTGGGGAGAGAAGAGGGACACATCTATCCTCAGCCCTGGATATTAAACTCAACAATAGAGCAAAACCCTACCATTCACACCTGTCTATCAGGCACAAAGCTTCAACATCTAGTGAGATTCAAAAATGATTCGGGTCTAAATTCCTATAAATGGCAAGTTTTAATAAAAAACAATGTCAGAGCCGTAACACCGTGATAATATAGGCATTATAAAAATGTTTTCAGGATTCAAAACCTACAATTCTCAGAATGAAAGGAGGATTTACATGACCACTTGAGTAGGACAGCTCTAAGTAATCCACTAGCAAGCATTGAATAAGTACGGAGTCTGCAGTGGAAGGTTCAGTGGAGTGAATAGAAAACACAGGGTGCAATTTCAGAGCAATTTCAACTGGTTACTTAAATACACGCATGGATATAGATACAATTTGGATATATGCAGCACACTTAATAGCCATCAGGTAGGGACAGATAGAAAGAAGGAAAGTAGGCTCTTTTATCTAGAAAAATCATAGCAAATTTTAAACATAATATACCAGTAGACAATTTCATATGGAACTATTGAAAAGACATTTATTTCTTTTGGAAAATCATAGAAAACTGGATGAAATGTACATCACACTCGAAAAGAGTGAAGTCTGTGTCAGATGCATCCATTACTATACTCATGCATGCATTTCAGGTCTGTGATTCTGTTACTTTAGAGTTAAATATGACAATTATTTCAGTGAAGTATCTAATTAATTTATGACATTCTATTTGGTTTTCCTTCCTCTTGTCCAACTACCCTCAACCTTGGGATTCTTGACATTTTCCTTCTAATGTGTTTTTCTGAGACATAGTCTTACTATACAGTCCAGAGTGGTACTGAGCTTGCTTGGTTCCTCCTGTTTCAGCTACCAAATGCTCAGTCCTCCAGGAATTTAGGCATGAGTTCTCACACCTGGTTCATTCCTGGCTAGTGCAAAACAATGAATTTAACAAACAAAAAAACCAAAGAGCAAGTAAGAAAGCTTAGCTTTCACCCAGTTTCACAGAGAAGATAAATGAAGGTCACAAACACAGTTTTATCTATCTGTTTCTCAGGGCTGCTCATGGGACATAGGTAAGAAAATAACTCAACAGAGTATCCTTGACAAGCTTGGAAGACAGGAGTGGCAGCTGTTACTGCAATGGCTACTGTTGAGTTACTTTTACGGTAAGAATCATACCTAGAATAACGACTCTTGATGTAACATGCTGTGGCATTTCTAACATAGCTGCGGGGGGTTAAGTATCTGTAAATGTCAAACTAACATTGAAAAGCTTTATAGGAAACTTTAAATTAGAAGGCATTCTTTTTAAGTATCCTAAGATAATAAATACCCTGAAAAAAATTTAAGTTGTTCTAAGAATGTTCTGCCACAAACTTTATTTTACCATACCAAATAGTTACCGTAGGATTAATCTATTTAATGAATACCTTTGTTTTTCGAGACAGGGTTTCTCTGCATTGTTTTGGAGGCTGTCCTAGAACTCGCTCTGTAGACCAGGCTGGCCTCAAACTCACAGAGATCTGCCTGCCTCTGCCTCCCGAGTGCTGGGATTAAAGGCGTGTGCTACCATTGCCTGGCTTGCTTTCTGGTTACTTATAGAAACATTTGATATGGGTTAGGTATGGTGGTGATCCAGACCTTTAATCCCAGCACTTGGGAGGGGAAGAGTCAGGCAGGTCTCTGTGAAGTCCAGGCTAGCCCAGACTACAGAGAAGTCCAAGGCCTGCTGGAACTACTCATCTCCAAAAGAAAATTCATTATCACTATTCTTCAAGTGAAGGTGATCAGTTACATTTTTTCCATTACAATCTCCTTTTGGAAGTTACCTGCCACTTAGTAATCTAAATTAAAAACACTTTGCTGAAATTATTTGGTAACAAGTAAAGAAAGGTATACTGGAAATTCTTTTCTGTTTATTTATTTATTTATTTATTTTTGAGACAGAGTCTCACTATGTAGCCCTAGCTGGCACGAAACTGCCACCTGAGCACACTAAACTTACAGATTACACAACCATGCCTAGCTAGAGGTTTTTTTTTGTTTGTTTGTTTTTCAAGACAGGGTTCTCTGTGTAGCTTTGGAGCCTGTCCTTGAGTTCACTCTGAGACCAGGCCAGCCTTGAACTCACAGAGATCTGCCTGCCTCTGCCTCCTGGGTGCTGGGATTAAAGGCGTGCACCACCAACACCTGGCTAGAGGTTATCCTTTAAGAGCCAGTAGTAATCCAAAATAAAAATGGGAAAAATAACAAAACAAATAAGCAATTTATAAAAAAAATTGCAAAATTTTGATAAATGTGAAGGTATCTTATCTCATTAATAAATTATCTCTAAATAATATGCCTGAAAATTTGCAAGAGTAGAACGAAATAATGTTCTAAATTGACAAGCATATTAGAAACTGGCATTCAAATATTGTTGGTGGAAATCTGAACTAATGAAGCTTTCTGACTTTTCCCAACATACTCAAGTCTTAAAATACACATGATCAGTGAATAAATACACAATACACTTAGATTTCCAACTTCCCATTTTTCTTTCAGAAACTCATTCTAGGATGGCAATCATGGGTGTGATATAAATAAGCTATAGACAGGGTACATAATTATCAGTAATGAAAACAAATTTTAAAAACTGGGTTAGCTGAAGTCTGATCAGACAATTTCTACTGTGCAATGATTAAAATACTACTACGGAGAAATAAAGGAGCTACCAAAATACTAGTATAATATACTGTTTGTAAGTTCTATGTATTAAAAAAACCAAAATGCTTACATCATATATTTCTAACTAAAGAAAAAATAATGCCAGATGTGATGACACAGGCTTGTAATCCTAGGACACAGGAGGCAGAAGCAGGAGGTTCATGAGTTTGAGGCCAACCTTTACTATATATATGTCAATACCTCGTTTCAAAACAATATAGTCATGGGGGGGCTGGAGAGTCAGCTCAGCTGTTAAGAGTACTGGCTGCTCTTCCAGAGGACCCAAGTTTGATTCCCAGCACGCATGAGATAGCTCACAGCCATCTGTAACTCAACTACCAGAGGAGCGGATGCTCTCTGTGGGCTTTTAATGCCCTCCTTGACCATCAGGCACACAACTAGACATGTGGGAAAAACATCTGCACACATAAACTATCTTCAGTTAAGAAAATAACATTATATGCAAAACACCTCTGAGTGCATGCTACCATTTCAGAGAAGAAGAATGCACACACAAGACTGTCTCATTACATTGTTGACGAATATGAAAAGAAGTGCTTATGGGAAAATGAACTGGATGTGGAAGTAGGAGAGACTTCTGTTCGCTCTTGTGCACTTAAGTTGTGAATCCTGTAAATACATGTTTGGAGTAGAAAAGAAGCACAAACTATTAAAGACACAGGCATGAGTTCTGCTTCCACTGAGGCTATGTAGGAAACACCTGGATCAACCCTCCATCATCAGCTGTAGACTTGAGATAACACTGTAAGCAGCTGCCGGAAATCTTTGCCCAGCTAACAAAACTGAGACAATTTGGAGGGCAGATGACACTTGGAGTACAGGATGCAGCACAGAGTATTTCCCAGTTCTGATGTGACTGCAGTCTGAGTAAATGCCATGCTGTGGCATGCCGGGCAATGCTGTGTCATGCCATGCAAGCAGAAGTAGGAATCCTTGGTCGTTCTGGTCTGAAGAATCAGCAGTCAGCCACAGACGAAACTGAAGAGGATGTTCCATGAAGCTTAGAGAGGAACACTAAACTACTTGCTCTTGTTTTGATCCCCCCCCCCAGGAGTTGTGGGGGATGGGGAGATGGGTATAGGGTTTTAACTCTTTTCTGAGTCTGAGTGTGGCCTTGAACTTCCAGAGATCCATCTACCTCTTAATCCTGAGTCCTGGGATTAAAAGTGTACCACCACTGCCTGACCCCTATAGCTTGTGGCAGATTTTGCTTTCTGAATCCTCGGGCAAGCTTTAATGAATCATAAATAATATATCACCAGATACAACCATGGGTATGCACACCTGAATCCATATGTGAGCATATATAAAGCCACACACAAACAAAATAAGACAAAACATATAAACAAATAAAAACACTACTGTGAAAAGATAATTAAAAGAAGTAGCAGTATGGCCAGGTATGTTGGTCCACGCATTTAATCCCAGCACTCAGAAGGCAAAGGTATGTAGATCTCTGAGTTCCAAGGTCAGTCAGAGCTGTATAGTGAGATCCTGGTTCAATTTTTTTTTTAAATGAAAAATGTTTCTGAGGATTGAGAATCTGAACTTGACCCTCCAAAAGAATCAGGACTTTCTCACAATGGTTTAATACTTCTCACATATCAAAAGCTAGCTTACACTATCCTAATGCTCTCTGTTTTATTCAAACTATATTTTTATTAAGTATAAGATTATATTACTCCCATATTATATCTGACAAAATTCAATTTTTGTTATTTAAATGCTGAAATTACCTTTATGCTTATTCAGAAGCTTGTAGCCCTGACAGTATCTGCTTGATGAAGTCATCATTGAAGCCGTGTTCATATAAGAATATGCTGCAGTAAAATCAAAGTCATCTTCGCCATCCCACCAGCCTTTCTGCTTAGCATAGTTTCTCATGTTGGGATGTTCCCGGTCGATCTTGGTTGTTATGGAGAGCTGATTGGAAATATTCCGAATTCCTATTTCAAAAGGATGAGAAGGATAACAAAAGTTACCTTTAACATAAAGAATCTATGTCCACATTATGATTTTTAAATCACTATTTAAACTTAATGTAAGTTTTTTGTCATGTACATCTACTGCATAGTCTAAACAATTAAATTTTAAAATTAAACTCTAAGATAACCATAGACTCAGATGTAGTTATATGAAATAACCCAGAGATAGTATACGCTTCATTCAGTTTCCACCCATCACATTTTATAAAACTAGAAAATAATACTACAACCAGAATATTGGTATTGATAATGCCAAGAAAAAGTGTATTTGTACCATGTTACCCTTTCACACCAAAGCCATGCATTTCCCAATCCTAATAATTCATTAACTCCCGGTACCCAGTATATACTTTTACAATAAGGTAGCTCAATGTTACATATTATATAGGGGCTGGTAAGAGAGCTCAGTGGGGAAAGACACTTGCCACAAGTCTGACCATCTGAGTTAGATCCAGAGCCCACATGATGGAAACAGACAACTAGTTGTCAAAAGTTGTCCTCTGACCTGCCATAGCACACATGTCCACATACATACAAATAACATTTTAAAAATAATACTATATAGCTGGGCGTTGGTGGCGCACGCCTTTAATCCCAGCACTGGGGAGGCAGAGACAGGCGGATCTCTGTAAGTTCGAGACCAGCCTGGACTACCAAGGGAGTTCCAGGACAGCCTCCAAAGCCACAGAAAATCCCTGTCTCGAAAAAACCAAAAAAAAAAAAAATATATATATATATATATATACATATATATATTATATAAGCAGAATCGCAAGCAAATAACTTCCTGGGATTTTTTAATTATTAAAATTTGTGTTACATGTACATCTGTTTTCTTGTGTGTATGTGGGGAGAGGCACCCTTTCACCATGTGTTTTCTGGGGATCAAAATCAGGTTGTGAGAGCTGAAGGCAAGCACCCTTACCCGCTGGGCCATCCTGCTGTCTGTCTTCTGGCCTTTTTACCACAGCATAATTCTACCCATCACACTATTACTTCTTTGTTTCTCAGTAGTATCTCATGGTATGATGCATGGCACTTTGTTTAGCATTTCAAAAAACATATATACTAGCCGGGCGTTGGTGGCGCACGCCTTTCATCCCAGCACTCAGGAGGCAGAGGCAGGCGGATCTCTGTGAGTTCGAGGCCAGCCTGGTCTACAGAGTGAGTTCCAGGACAGCCTCCAAAGCCACAGAGAAACCTTGTCTCGAAAAACAAAAACAAAAAAAACAAAACAAAACAAAACAAAAAAAAATATATATATACTACACAATGAGCAGGTGATTAGCTATCCATCAGAGATGTATCACTACTGTGTTGCAGATACTTAAAACAACAATCTAGTTTTTGAGATGATTTAGTAAGAGAAAGAGAAGACAGAAGCAAGGTAATCTCAGCAGGATAATTGTGGGGACACCAGACCTTGAGCAGAGACCCACTTCCCCATCAGCCTGGGAGTAGGCAGCTGTAAGACAATGTTTACTAAAAACATGTTTACTAAAAACAATACAATGCTCTGCTCGGGGCAATAAGTTCCTGAAAAAGGGCTTGCCCACGGGAACCGCCCTGTCCTCGACCTTTTCCAAAGACTATCCGCCTCTTCAGACCCACCCACCTCCACCTCTGGTGTTAGGGTATATAATAACCAGCCAGAATAGGAATAAAAAGAGAGCCTTCTTGAGGAGCTTTCTGGTCGGTGTTGTCAATCCCTGACACCCTAGCCACATTCTTGGATACAGGCTGCGCAGCAGACGCGGCAGATAGTCAGACCCAGGAAGGCACTCATTTTTCATGACCAGGTAAGACTTTTTCTTTCTTTTTTCTTAGATTTATTTATTGTGCATATAGTGTTCTGTCTACATGTATCCCTGCACACCAGAAGAGGGCACCAGATCTCATTACAGATGGTTGTGAGTCACCATGTGGTTGCTGGGAATTGAACTCAGGACTTCTGGAAGAGCAGTCAATGCTCTTAACCTTTGAGCCATCTCTCCAGCCTTGACTTTATTCAATAGTCTTTTACATAGCATGTTCAATAAAAGAAAAAATGATCAATGATATCATCAGTTCAATTAGCATAATAATGAAATATTGAATATAATTTTATATATTTTACTAAAACCTAGAAAATGTCAAACAAAAATATACAAACAGGCCGGGCGGTGGTGGCGCACGCCTTTAATCCCAGTACTCGGGAGGCAGAGGCAGGCGGATCTCTGTGAGTTCGAGGCCAGGCTGGACCGACAGCCTCCAAAACAATACAGAGAAATCCTGTCTCGTAAAAACCACAAAAACAAAAATATACAAACAGTATTTCTAAAGACCATGAAAATAGCTGGGAATGACCTATTTTGAAAACTAACAGCCAAACCTTCCACAGCAGGCTCCTCATGAAGTCTTTCTGAACTCCAGAAGTTCACAATGCCTTTTCTTTCCTTGAATGTTCACAGCACCCATGGGTCCACATCATTCATTCAATTAATTCATTAAGTATAGCCTGACTGGACTCAAACTCTGTATGAAGTAGACAGTAATCTGTCTGTCTTGTTTGTTAGAGACAGGGTTTCTCTGTGCAGCCAAACAATGGGTACCCAGCCACAGAGAGGACAATGAGTCAGCAGAGGTTGTCCTCTGACCTTCACAGGTACAGTGGCCACGCATGTCCCCCAAACATACATGTACACATATCACACACACTCACACAAGAAGAAATAGGAATATTTGACACCCAATATACTCTTTCTAAACACTGGTCCAAAGCCACCCATCCCCAACCCAACTCCCTTTTCTTTACCACCATACTTACACATGATACAATTCTGGAGTTCAGTTCTAAGTTTAAAAAGTAGTTGTTAAAAAGAGAGAAAACAGGCCGGGCGTTGGTGGCGCACGCCTTTAATCCCAGCACTCGGGAGGCAGAGGCAGGCGGATCTCTGTGAGTTCGAGGCCAGGCTGGACCAACAGCCTCCAAAACAGAGAAACCCTGTCTCGTAAAACCAAAAAAAAAAAAAAAAAAAAAAAAAAAAAGAGAGAGAGAGAAAACACTATAGATAGCCAAACACTGCTGCAGAGATAATGCTACCTCCTTATTTTTGTAAGAATGCTCATCATAGTTTTCTTTCCCTTTGTGTTCTTCCAATTTTAACTTTGCTCTGCAGTTTATCCTTTAATGCAATGGATTATAAATCTTGAAAGGCAAGTAAATGTATTAGCTACAGATAAATATATGTTTTATTAATAAGTATATAAACCAAATTTCAAATAGTTGTTCATACCTTGAACTTTTTCTGCTGCCCAGTACTTCCCTGAAGTTTCCAGAATCCAGGCTTCATTCCTATCGGCTATCAGGAAACTGTTATAATAGCTAAATTCTTCACCCTCCGCACAATTTCCACCTTGGCCATACTTCTCTAATAAGTCAACAATGACATCGAGAGCTTTTTCAGCTGTGTCAGCTCTTTCAAGGCCAAGTCTAAAATAAAAATATAGAGGATCTCAAATTAAAAATAATTTCCTTTATTCATCTTAGCTTCATGTTCAAGAAGTACCATGTTTATTACACTCAAAGTAAAAAAAAAGTGCAAGTTAATAGTAAAATAAAATCTTTTAAAGTATTATTTCTGAAGGCATTTTGGGACAATGATGACAATTTTGGAGTCAACTTCCATTTTGGTAACTTATTGCAAAGTTATTTTATTTCTAAGACTGAGCTATCTCTTTATAAAGTGAAGGTATTAATCAACCATGTAATAAGGCAATTCAGGCATCTCTGATGAATTATAAATTCCGATTTTGGTCCTCTCCCAATTAATGATGTGCATGGGTGCACACGAGTGTCAGCAGGTGTTATACATGTTTATGTGGGTACACCTAGGGGATGTGTGCATCCAGAGGTTGATGTCCAACAGCCTTCTCAATTGCGCTACACTTGATTCTATGAGTCAGGGTTTCCCAGTGAACTGGAATTTACCAGTTAAGCTAGACTAGCTACTCAGCAAGGCCCAGGCATCTGCCTGCTTCTGCTTCTCCAATGCAGTAATTATTGCAGACGCACATGAGTGCTGGAGATCAAACTCAGGTGCTCAAGCTTGTGCATTACATACTGTATGAACTGAGCCATCCACCCTAGACAAACCCACGATATTTACGAGTCATGAAATTGCAGGCTGGTGTGAAAATGGATGCTGGTTGGTTTTTGACCATTTCTCACATAGTCTGTAGTGAGGAAACGACATAATAGTTACCTGACGAGGTCCATGCCCAAAAGTGCTTCCTCCTTAGAAATATCTTCTCTTCCCCATACAGCTTCATTCCCAATGCAGACTCCATGCTCATTGGCTCCCATTTCTGCCCCCCACAACCAGGCTGGGCGACTAAGGACAACAGCACAGGTTTCAGGAACTTGATCAATTTCTATATAAGTACACTGTAAAAAGAAAAAGTCATACAATTATATATCAAAAATGGAAAATTACCAAATTCCAGAATGTTAAACACCATTTGGAAGACATGATCATTATGAAGGTCGGTGAAATGGAGCCAAATTGAAACCTTCAATAATAAAAGCATTAACTTTAAAACCCATTCAGAATTGACTGTAAAGCATTAATTGTTTAAATGCTTTCTGAGTATGTCCTATTATAGTGTACATGAGACACGTCAGTTATAAAGATAAAGGAACATGAAGCTTCATCTCAAGAAACAAAGACTTCTTCAGTTATAAAGATAAAGGAACATGTAGCTTCACCTCAAGAAACAAAGACTTCTTCATTAACTAAGATAAACAAACACTAAGGGTAAAGGCCTAGAAGAGAATGGACAGAGCTGCCCTGGCAGCTTAGAAGTGATAGTTATTAGCGCCGGGCGTTGGTGGTGCACGCCTTTAATCCCAGCACTTGGGAGGCAGAGGCAGGCGGATCTCTGTGAGTTCGAGGCCAGCCTGGTCTACAGAGCTAGTTCCAGGACAGCCTCCAAAACAATGCAGAGAAACCCTGTCTCGAAAAACCAAAAAAATAAAAAATAGAAAAAAAGAAGTGATGGTTATTAATCTTCAAACTCTTTCGTGGAGAATAGTTAATATGAGTTGAAGATTAAGAAAGTTCTCAAGTCCAATGTCTAGTGTGTCCTGACTAGTGATATATGTACTCATAGGTACCTGAGACTCTTAGTCAGATAAGAAAGGTGTGCCTTAGAGGCTCACATTTCATGTGTAAGTGGACTATGAGGAAGAGTGAGAACCTGACTTACGAGATAGGCTAGATTTAAACATACACATACAGAATAGAAATGCTATCCCAAGTGAATAACAGTTACAGCAAAAGGAAACTATAGCCTAATATTTAAAAGTCTTACATTTAATGCATATTACTGTTAGAACATCAAGAGGCAGGCGGATCTCTGTGAGTTCAAGGCCAACCAGGTCTACAGAGTGACTTCCAGGACAGCCTCCAAAAAACAATACAGAGAAACCCTGTCTGGAAAAACCAAAAAAAAAAAAAAAAAAGTTTCCTTCTACCACCAACCTATGAGAAAAATGGGCACATAGTATTATGCACCAAAAACACGACTTTGAAAATTTTCTTGATTGTTCCCCAAATGTCAACCCATCAGAAACCAACCCATACCTACTGATGTAACCCTGTAATCTTTGTCTTTAAAACCTAGCAGTAGACAGGGACCTTCAGCCCCTCTGGAGGCTGCTGCATCAGCTTGCTAGACAGGGTCCCTCCCACGGAAGGGTAGAATAATCAATTAGCCTTGTGCATTTGCATTGGTGGTCTCTCTCCCTGGTCTCTTTGAGGATCCTTGTGACTTGAGCATAACAAATATAAACCTTTAAGTTCCATGTAAAGAGACTGTTTACATAAAAATTTTAAAGGACATTTTAGTTAATGTGCATGTAAAAGGTGAGGGGAAACACATAAAATGTATGTTGGTGGTATTATCAGATGCCTACTAAACCTTTTTTGATGGACCACAAAACATATTTATAGGGCTGAAAAATGTGGTGCCATTGTTAGACTTACATACAAGAGGACTAGGTTTGATCCCTGTCACCAGAGGGAAAAAAACCAAAAACCTGTTACTTAATAAATCTAAAATATTTTTTCTTGTTCTATACCAAGAGAATCCCTTTGATCTGTCAGCTGAAATCATTCTTTTTTTTTTAAGTTTATTTATTTTATTTAGTGAGTGTTTTGCTTAGGGCTAGGGCCAGGGTTATGGTTAGAGTATTTCTGTGCATATGTGTGCCTGGTGTCCACAGAGGTCAGAAGACAATATTGGGTATCATGGAAGTGGAGCTATGGATAATTGTGAGCCACTGTGTGGGTGCTGGGAATCAAACCAGGTCCTCTGCAAGAGCAAGTGCTCTTAACTACTGAGCCAACCATCCAGCCCTACTCTTTAGTCCCTGGTCTAATCTGGACGTTCCTCGTCTGCTGCCACAGCCTGCTACGTTTACCTACGGTCAGCATTAACACCCACTTTATTGTGCTGCTAGTTGCAGCCACTGTCCTTTCGTTACTCTCAGTATCTGTAAGATCTTGTCCAGATGTTAACAACTGACTTTAAATCCCTTACCACAACTAACACATATAACGTAGAAAAAGCATTCGGATATTTAACCAAAGAGATAACAATTTTTATTATGTTAGCAGCATCTTCTAAATTATTGAAATAAAAGGCCAGAAGTCCATTTTTGGTTCAAGCCATTTTCAACCTTATATTCATGAAGTTTTAACTTCAGTGGCCTTCTGTCAATTAGTAGCTAATGAAAGAAATAACCATTTACAAGTCTGGAGAGATGGCTCAGTGGTTAAGGACACCTGCTGTTCTTGTAGAGGGCCAGGGCTCAGTCCCTGGCACACACAGCCTGTAACTGTAGTTGTATGGGACCCTGCACCCTCTTCTGACCTCCTTGGGCACCAGGCATATGTGGTGCACAGACAGACATACAGGTAAAATATTCATACACATAAAATAATGTTAATTATTTTTTAAAGAAATATCCAATTTATTTTTGTTGCTTTGTTTGTTTGTTTTTCAAAACAGGGTTTCTCTGTGTAGCTCTGGCTGTCCTGGAACTAGCTCTTGTAGACCAGGCTGGTTTTAAACTCACAGAGATCCACTTGCCTCTGCCTCCCAAGCGCTAGGATTAAAAGCATGCATGGTCGCCCGGCCCCATTTGATATTTTTAAAGATAGACATTGCTAATACAATATATATTTTACCTACCTTAAGACGTTTTTGTAAATCATTATGAACGGCAGCTGGAAAGTAAATCACTTCTTGTACTTCATCGAAGAGCCTATCTGAATTTTTTCCAAAAATAACCCTATTACCAAATGTTGCTGGAGGTAATGCCACAAAAGTGTCGCAGGAATAGGGCTCCATTTCTTTAAAAAAAAAGAAAAAAGAAAAGGCATATATAAGTTTCAAAATAAAAGAGAAAAGGTTTTAAGTATACATAAAACAAAAAGCTTTTCTCTATGACTAAGGGATATACCTAAGAAGGGTACATAGTAAAGTTTTAAATATCATACTACTTTTGTGCATTCCAGGGCAGCCAGGGATATACAGTAAGACCAGTCCTAAATAAATAACATAAGCTATAAAAATTAAAGTATGATTTAGTAAGTAACCACATACCACTATGATACAATGACAACAAGAACCACTTTCTTCCAGTTTACAGGTCAAATATTTATAGATGTTTCCTCTGTAAACCTCTCTCCTGAATTTTCTCAGTTCTTTTTACTCTGCACATAGCTACTACATGTGTCTTAGTCTGCTGTGTTAGTGTATGCATAAGGCCCCTTATTACACAGTGAAATCCTAGAGGATGTCTTATTAATCTATCATTTCTGGAAATTATGTAAAGGCTGGGCATAGTGGTGCACACCTTTAATCCCAGCACTTGTAAGGCACAGGCAGGAGGATTTCCATGAGTTTGAGGCCTGCCTGGTCTACAAATTGAGTTCCAGTACAGCCAGAGCTGTTACACAGAGAAACCACATCTGGAATAAACAGAAAACAGGGCTGGAGAGATGGCTTGGATGTTAAGAGCACTGGCTGTCCTTCCAGAGGTCTGAGTTCAATTCTTTTTTTTTTTTTTTTTTTCTTGGTTTTCCGAGACAGGGTTTCTCTGTGGCTTTGGAGGCTGTCCTGGAACTCGCTTGGTAGACCAGGCTGGCCTCGAACTCACAGAGATCCGCCTGCCTCTGCCTCCCGAGTGCTGGGATTAAAGGCGTGCACCACCACCGCCCGGCTCTGAGTTCAATTCTTAGCACCCACATGGCAACTCACAACCGTCTATAATGAAATCTGGTGCCTTCTTCTAACCTGCAGGCATAATACCATATACATTATAAATAAATAAATCTTTAAAAAAACCTAACTGTTAAGGTTTCCAGGTGGAATATTCATATTTATAATTTATAAATTTTGGTTGTAGAACTGATATATAAATTATCTTCACTTGTCATTTGGAAAATTTTAAATCCTCATTTTTAGAACGATTCAAGATCCTATATATATATATATATTTTTTTTTTTGGTTTTACGAGACAGGGTTTCTCTGTATTGTTTTGGAGGCTGTCGGTCCAGCCAGGCCTCGAACTCACAGAGATCCGCCTGCCTCTGCCTCCCGAGTGCTGGGATTAAAGGCGTGCACCACCACGGCCCGGCAAGATCCTATATTTTTATTTTGCTTTCAGAACATAGTTTTAGTTTCCTTTTATTTTAAATTTCTTAAGATTTGTTTCTACTATTTATGTGTTTGTATGTATGTGTCTGTCTGTCTGTCAAAAGTATGGGGATGTTTAAGAAAGTCAGAAGCGGGTCTCAAACGCCCTGAAGCTGGGATTACAGGACGTTGTGAGGCATCTCAAGTCTTTAGGAAAAGTGGGGCGCTATCAATACAGACCAGTTTCCTTCTTTTATAATAACCAAATCTTGGCATAGTTTTATACACAAGCATACTGTCATTTTAAAACAGAATAAAAATATAACAAATATGAATAAAATACACATAAATTAATATTTTTCTGAAAGGAAAACGAAGCGGGGTATGGTAGCACACCCGTAATGTCAGCACTTGGCAGGATGAGCTAGAGTTTAAAGCTAGCCTGTGCTGCATAATTCAAGAACATAGTGAAACCGCGTTTCAAAATGAACAACATGACTCAAGAAACAAGTCCACCATGGAACACCTTGAAGGCTCTTCTCTTCTCAAAGATGGGAAGAAGTGACCACTGTTCCTCTTTGGTGCCTCCTCTCTGAAAGCTCTGACCTCCCATTTACAGCGCTCCAAAGTTAGCTACCTTAATACATAACATAGGCAGGCTATGTATTCTCTTCCAGGCTCATCCGTAAAATAAACACCCTCTAGTAGTGCTGTTTTGAGGATTGATTGCCAAGTAAAAGCCCGCCTTGGTGGCGCACGCGTGTATCCAAGTTTGATGGTTACATGGACCGTGTCACAAATAAGACACGACAAAATTACACACCTGACCCTCAAACAAAAGCTGTCACCTGTTTGAAGCTGGCTGATTCTTAGCCTTGCTAGAGTCAGTGGACTAGCAGCCATGCCCACACCGAACCCTAGGACCGTCGAGCCGCAGTGAGCGGCACACTAACAGGGACAGCGGCAGCAACTAAGAAAACAGCACCCGGGGAGGGGAGCCCTTGGCGCTAACGTGTTTTCATCATTGACGATGTTTGTTGAACATCTTTCTGCACGGCTGGAAACAACCGAGGGAAGCTGGGTGTGGCGGCGCACGCCTTTATGCCCAGCTCTCGGGAGGCAGAGGCAGGAGGATCTGTGAGTTCGGGGCCAGCCTGGTCTACTTAGTTCAAGGACAGCCAGTGCTAGATAATGAGATCGTGAGCCTCAAAAAAATAAATAAATAACAACTGGGAGGCAAGAGCCTCGGCTCTTGAGGCGCTAACAGTGTATTCCAGTGCTTTCGACAACACCCGTCTTTTGAGTCCTACAGTCGCCGCGAGGCTTACCGTTTCCATAAACTACATGGAAACTGAGCTGCAAAAAAAATTTTTTTAAGTTTTTTCAACTGGAGTCGGCGTTCCCAGAAAGTGCTGGGCTCGAACTTCAAGACCTCGGCCGCTTGCGATGCCAGCGCTCGGCGCGAAGCTAGCACGCTGAGCCCACAGCGGCCCGCGGCCCCGTTCTGCGCGGTCCTCCAGCTTACCTCAGCTGCGCACGCGCGGACGCCGAGTCAGCCTCCGCGGCTACCAAAAGCTTTCGCCGGAAACGAAGGAAGGGGCGGGCCCAGGAAGTAATCACCTCCGACATCGGAAGTTCTCTATTATGCTCTCCTTACGGTTCCGGTGACGCTCCCGGAGTTTGTTTACGTTCCTCGCCAACCTAGCGGCCGGCTGCTCCCTCTCTGATGCCAAGATGGGGAAGTCGTTCGCTAATTTCATGTGCAAAAAGGACTTCCATCCTGCGTCCAAATCCAACATCAAGAAGGTGAGCAAGGGGATCCGGAGAGGGCAGCGATGTGTGTGCCGGGCTCCCGGGGACAGTCGTGTCCTCCGCAGGCCTGGAGGCGTCGCGCCTGTCTCCAAGCTAACCCACCGCCACCCCTGCCTTCACTCTCCGTCCCACGTCTCCATCGTTTAAAGAAAAAAAAAATCACAGGTCAACGGAGTGCTGGACACAGGACCGAGGAGAGAACTACAGCGAGGGAATGGCAGCGGAGACAGCCCGAGCTTTGGGCTCAGGGTTCTTGGTAGTTCCGTGCGGTCACATTTAGCCCTGAGGCCTCGCACAAAATGTTTAATGTCATTGTCATTGTCAGCCTCCTGCTTTACTAATTAAGAGTGACGGTGTCGGTTGCCCTAGTGTGTAAAATTGTTAGGAAGAGTAAATGAGATAGTGTGGGGGAAAGAGAAGAAACGGGAAATGAAGGCTTAGCACTGTGCATCCCGGGAAATACTCAAAAGTGTACACAAGCTTGCGAGAATACATTGAGCTTTTAGTTGTTTCTAAGCCAGTCGTGGGTCCTGTATGTTCCCATGCATGTAATGAATGTTATGTAAAAATAAGATTGTTCTTAATTTAAATAAAAATTTTATAAACAATGTTATGTATAAGAATTCATGGACATTAGAATATCTGTGGAAGAAAATACAGGAAGTGCTAACACGAGTTATTTGTGAATATAGTTACTTAATTTTGTGTGTGTGTGTGTGACAGGTTTTCTCTGTGTAGACCAGGCTGTCCTCAAACTCACAGAGATTCTTCTGCCTCCCAAGTGCTAGGATTAAAAGCTTGTTACATAATTTTAAAGTCACTCCCCCCCCCAAAAAAAATCTTGCTAGGCATTTCAATCTCTGCTTTATCCCTTGACCTCCCCCGCCCAAAGTCCAGTTTATTTTGTACATACTCCTATTGCCCACATGTCTTTTACACTTTTTTTTTTTTTTTTTGGTTTTTCGAGACAGGGTTTCTCTGTGGCTTTGGAGGCTGTCCTGGAACTAGCTCTGTAGACCAGGCTGGTCTCGAACTCACAGAGATCCGCCTGCCTCTGCCTCCCGAGTGCTGGGATTAAAGGCGTGCGCCACCAACGCCCGGTGTCTTTTACACTTTTCATGGCCTCTTTTATAAGGCAGGGTCTCCTGTAGTCTAAACTGGCTTCAAACTTGCTGTCAAGGGCAGATGGCCCTGAACCCCTGATCCTCCTGTCTCTCCCTCCCAAATGCTGGGATGACAGGTTGAAGTCACTGCATGCGACTTTCATGTCTCTTTTATAAATTGCGAAATAGTTCATAATGTGCAGAAGAATCACTGAGCACTTTGGCAATGGACCGTGTTTTATTTTATTTCAGTTAATGGAATATAAGTTCTTGAGCGATTGAGACTAGTTAAATCACAGTGAAATATAAAGCTTGGGATACATGGTAATTTTTCTTTTTGTGTGTGTGTAGGGGTGTGGTTTGTTTTCAGACAGGGTCTCACTGTGTAGCTCTTGCTGGCCTGGAACTTTCAGTAGTCCTACCTCAGTTTCCTGAGTTCTGGGGTCACAGACATGGCCAGCATGCCTGGCTGACAGGTGTAGTTGATTATAGAAGACAAGGGACCATCCAGGGCTGTCAGGGTGGCTTGTGGGTAAAGTGCTTGATACACAAGTGTGAGGTTAAATTTTGGATTCCCAGCACCCACATAAAATCATGGTGGCCCATTTGTGATCCTCAGCTTCAGGGCATGAAGACAGGAGCTCCTCTCTGCAAGCTGGTAGCTAGACTAGTAGAATTGTTGAAGGTTCAGTGAGACTCTGCCTCAGTAAGTCAAGTGGAAAGTGACTGGGGAAGATAATTTGTTTTAAACCCTGGACTCCATACTCACAGGCATGTGCTACACACATGTGGGCATGCAAGTATTACACTCAAAACAGACTTCTTGCCGGGGGGATGGTGGCGAGTGCCTTTAATCCCAGCACTTGGGAGGCAGAGGCAGGCAGATCTCTGTGAGTTTGAGTCCAGCCTGATCTACTAAGAGCTAGTTCCAGGACACACTCCAAAGCCACAGAGAAACCCTATCTCAAAACAAACAAACAAAACAAAAACAGACTTCTTATTTAGCCCAGTTGTTAAATTATATTTTGTTTCACTAATATAGGTATGGATGGCAGAACAGAAAATATCGTATGATAAAAAGAAACAAGAAGAACTAATGCAGCAGTACCTTAAAGAACAAGAGTCGTATGATAACAGGTAAGTGCCACCTTATTAGTGTTTGTAGATTAATCAGTTGCACGGGAATAATCAATATTGGGTCAGCTTCTCTCCCATAATTATACATGGTCACCTTTTCCAAATTCTTCACATAAAATACAGCTTCATTGAGTCATCCAGAGTGTGAGCAAGTCCTACATGAGGCGGAGCTTGCAGAAATAAACACTGCATGTTAGCCACTGCGCCTGGTTAGAAAGATTGCCCTTTAATACACTGGAATGAAAGATACTCAGAACACTTAGAAGAGAAGCCGGGTGTCTTTGGCCTGTGTCCTGCCCCTTAGCTGCTTTCAATGTGTTTGTATTTGATTAATTAACTGAGTAGTGGTGTTTCGGTTATATGGACTGTACTCTGAAGCAACATTTATTTTTGAAACATTTACATTTGAGACTTGAGACAGTCGTTTATGGGTAATTGGACCATGCTGTTAACATTATCATAGAGGTATCTGTTCAAGACTGTTTTCAGTTGCTTAGTTTATGTGCTTAGGAGCAGAATCGCTAAATCTCAAGGTAACTCTTTTTTAGTTTTTTAAAGAACCACCAAACTTTGCCGTAGCCTGAGCTGGTCTTGAACTCCCTATGAAGTCAAGGATGACCTAAAACTCTTGGTTCTCCTGCCTTGAACTGGCATGTACTGCTATGCCAGTGTATGTGATGGAAGGAGTCAAACCCAGGGCTCGCTGTGTGTCAGGCCAGCACTCAGCTCATTTAGTAATAACCATGCTGATAAGTATGGGGTGGTAGCTTGTAGTTTTGATTTCTGTTTCTCCATTTCTGATAAAGTTCAGCTTTTCATGTACTTGTTTGACAATTTTTAAATGGTGTTAAGACAAAATCTACAGATCTGTTTAAAATACTGGGTTTTTAAGTTTGTTTGGTGTTACTAAGCCATTACCATATCAAATTTCAAAACATTTCATTACCTGAAAAGAAAATGTGTTCATCAGTAGACCTTCCCCATTTCCTAATTTATCCTATTTCTGCCTCTCACAAGTCATCACCATTTTACTTTCTACCTATGAATTTTTGGAATTATGGACACATAAGGCAGATGATAAAATGGTCTTTTGTGACTTTTTTGTATTTAAAAATCACATTTATTTATTTATTCATTTAGTCTGTGCGTGGTGGGTGGGGCCCCAGTGGAGGTCAGAGGGCAACTTGAAATAGTCAAGTCTCTCCATGTGGGCTCCAAGGATCAAACTCAGGTCCTCGGGGTTGGTGGCAAGCACCTTTACGCTCTGAGCCATCCTGCTTGCCCTCGCCGGAAGAGCTTTTATCTTGCCCTGCTTGCAGTGTCTTGGGCACACTTTGTACTAACCGCATTAGCCTCTTGGGCTTTGGAAGACAGATGAGGGGTGGCAACCAGCACCAGAGTGTGCGCCCAGTGTCAAGGGCATTTGTGACTGGTTAATTCTTAAAATTATATATTCTTAGGCCAGGTGATGGTGGCGCACGCCTTTAATCCCAGCACTTGGGAGGCAGGGGCAGGTGGATCTCTCTGAGTTCAAGGCCAGCCTGGTCTACAGAGTGAGGACCAGGATAGGCTCCAAAGCCACACAGAAAAACCCTGTCTCCAATATGTGTGTGTGGGGGGCGCATATGAGAACCTTGGTGCACATGTGAAAGTTAGAAGAATACGTTGTGGGAGGCCGTTCTCTCTTTTTCACTGTGTGGGTCCTGGGGATTGGACTCAGGTCAGTAAGCTTGGGTGGCGGAAACTTTGGCCACTGAGCCACATTACTGGCCCCGGATTTCTTTCATTTAGCATGTTTTTAAAGGTCGTCTACCATATACATTATTGTACGTTCCACAATAAAGATATGTATTTATATGTCCTTCTGTTTTTTTCTTCTTTTTGTGAGGGAGAGAGGGGAATATAGATTCCAATAGAGAGAAAATGAGGATTACATACAGTAATGTAGCATATCCTTTGTGATTGCCTTTTCCAAATACAAAGACATTTCATACTTACCCTTTAGTTTTTGCTGGTATTTAATTTAGATTTTACGGACTTAACTTTAAGTCAGTGTAGCCTTACTGTTTGTTGTGGACCTTTTACCTCAGAAGCCCAGCAGAGGCATGCTGTGCACAGAACCTCAGAACCTGCAGCAGAAGTTTCAGTCACCACCTAGGATTTTCTGAGAAATAGTCATTTCTGGCTTCGTTGTATTAGCCTATTGCAGAATTTTGTTAATTTTTTCCTTGTTTTCATTAAAAACGTTGGTACTCAAGGCTGAGGAGTTAGCTCAGTTTATAGTGTTTGTCATGAAGGTATGAAGACCTGAGTTTGGATTCTAAACCCCCACATGAAAAGCCAGATGTGTGGTGCTTGCCTGTGATCCCAGTGCTCCAGAGGTAGAAACAGGAAGTACTTGGCCCTTGCTAGTTAGCTATTTGAAGTCAATTAGTGAGCCCCAGGTTTAGTGAGAGACCTTGTC